CACGTTGATACCTTCGGCCTGCACGAACATCAGAGCTCCCTCGACTGAGGCGGTATTGACCGTGTCCAGGTTGTTCATGTAGGCAGCCTCCGTATTGTCTCCGTACTTGGACAGCCACATCTGTGCCTCCTCATTCCACACAGGGGCGTCACCCTGCACACGTGCCTGAATTGAAGTAACAGGCTTCATGTGCCAGCCGCCGTTGGCGTCTGAGGACGCGGCCGAGATGGTGGCTTGCGTGGCTCCAGAGCCCGAATTCGTCTCCTGGGAGACCATCATGGTGAGGCGCGCAGCACTGGAAGCAGCACTCAGGGGCGCGCCCAGAAGGAAACACAGCAGATCAAAGCGACGCCACATCTTGGAAAATGTAGACCGATGTCTTCAGGGGGACAAAGCGGAATGGAGAATGGCAAATGTTTGAGACGCATTTGCCCAAGATTTGCCGCACAGAATTTGTTTGGGTTTAATATTTGCATCTGATTCACCTAATTCTCAGTTGCTCGTGGAGGGTTGGGGGTTGTCAGAAGAGTTTGGTATATTGAAATGAAGAGTTATGTACTGGAAAAACGGTGCCATGAGTATTTTCTGTTTGATACCAGAGAAGCCAGCGTTTTAATCGCAGTTTTAGCGATTTTTGCTGTGGTGCCATCGTTGCGCCGTTCGAAGTGGTCGATGCTTTGAGGCGGGACGTCGATCATTCGTGCGCGTTGTTGTGCGCGCGTGGACAGTGCTGAGCTTTCCTCAGTCGAACAAGTAGCCTGCCATCTTCGCTCCATGCGCAGCAGCGAGGGCACGCTTTCTCGCGATGTCCACATTAGCAACACGCCCGTCGTCCAAACTCGCCTTGTTGAACCTGCGCGCGATTTCTCTATGCCGCTGTAGCTCTCGATGCCACAGTTGTGACAATGGCAATGCCACTGCAATTTCTTGTCATGGGTAGCTGGCGACTGTTCTTTCCGCACTTGTCGATGTGGTGTACGACAGTTGAAGTGCATGCATCCACCAACACGCCGAGATTAATGCGGGCCAGATGCTGGTGCTCGTGCAACACGAGCATTAGCTTCGTGGCAATGACGCTACGCTCAAACACGCCAAGCTGCCTTGGGGATCACCAAGCCGTAGGCTACGGCGTAGCTGAACGGCAAAACAATTCCGCATTTTTCAGCTTCCTGTGAATGATTTCGGACACCGACACAAGTAAGAAAGACACAAATTCATCAAAGGAAAAATACGAGGAGTTAATATAATGTGCTGCAGTGTGACCACTTCGGACGGTGACCAAGTCAAGTTTCTTGAAATTCCCAAACCTTGGCCTACGTTGCGGCTGTACTGGTCTGCACGACGCTGATTATTCGCTTCGACAGCAGTTGGACACTCCATCGTGCCATACAGGACAGTCGACATTTTGCTTACAGCAGGCTGCTGGCGACGACAGCCACAACACCCACGAGCACCGACGCCAGCGAAGCCGTCACGGGACTGCCCGACGAGCCGGTAGTGGTCGAATCCGAGTCACCCGATCCGTCCGACGAGCTGTTGGAGGGCAGCGTTAGCTTCGGGAAAGAGAATGAGGACGGAGCAGCCTCGCAGCCATCCGCGTCGGACGAGCACACAGCGCAGATCTGAGAGTAAAGCGTACGGTTGCAGCCGTATTGGGACGTAGCGCACGCCTCGCTGTTCTCGTAGCACTTGGGGTTGGCCGACGTCAGTTTCTCGATCGTCGGGAGCGCCTCCATATTGGCACTAGTGCCATTGCTGGCCAGTTCATTGTACATCTCCACCATAATAGAAGTGCGGTTCGAGTTGGCATCCTCATCTCCAGGGTTCAGCCAGAAGTCAATGCTCTCTTCAACCTCGAAGCCGCTGCCAGTGTTTGTGGCCTTGAATTCCACACCGCCGTCTTCGCAGAACTCCGTGTAGTTTTTGTAGCCCATCTCGGTAATACCGACCAGGTCGTCAATGTTCAGGTAACCAAGGATCTTGTAGCTGAACGTACAGTTATCACCGTCAGGCTGGGTACCCATAGCACAGAGACCACCAGGGTACTCGGCACGGCACTCGTCCGTCTTGTCTTCACGAAGCTCCTGAGCACAAGAGTTCGGGAACGAGAACCAGTAGTTGCCAGGGTACGGAGCACGAGGGTCCGACGTCTGCAGGTTGCTGCCTACC